CTAGTTGTTATAACTTATAACGTGTCCTGTGAGCCTCTGATCACAGTCAACCCAAGTGACTCAAATGACACCCAAGCTGTGGACTGCAACTACTGACTACTTCTACTTCTACCGACGACTAGACTAGACTCGACGATTAATATTAAGAAAATTAAGACTGAGACTGAGACTGAGACTGAGACTAAAACTCCGACTAGTACTGTGACAAGTGACTAGACTAGTGACTAGACTCGACTAGACTCGACTATCGGACGATGGCTATCTTAGGTCGCAAGTCGCTAGCCAGAAAGAAGCCAATGAGTAAGCCAAAGTACGTTGATCTCCTTATCGCAGTGCTTCGAGAGTGTAGCAAATGCTGCTTTTGCTGCCAGCTCAAAGCAACCACTCCCGGTGCATCCAGACATCAAAACAACATCGTTCGGGAAGGAACGTGTGTGAGCTCCAAGGACCTCGTTCGGCACCGAAGCCAATATCCGACGCAGTTTGGCCTCACAACTCACAACTCACGCTCACACTGGCTCACACTGCAATGGCCTCACAACTCACGCTCACACTGCAATTGCAAATTGCAACAACCAGTCCTGTAACGTGACAGCTGATTTAGTTTAAGCTGCCTTGGCCCATTGTCTCCACGATGGCACTGACAAACCATTGTCATCATCTTCTATATCACTGGTGCCCTCTTCCGGCTGCCACATCTCGCGCAGCTCGTCATCAATGTCACTGTCACCGTCATTGTCATTGCCATCGCCGTCATCGCCATTGTCGCCTTGGTTCTCGGCATTCTCGGTGCTGATCGTGCCGCTGGGATCATCCGCGGGACCTCGACCTTGACAGCCTCGAGCAGTGTGGTTGTCTTGGTCTTGATCTATGAGCTGTGTCTCCAGCTCAGCTATCATGGCCTCTTCAATCGCCACGTCGAGCTCGAAGGCCACCTCAGCGTTCTGATGGCCCGGATCCTCGACCCCAGCGTCCGGATGGCCCGGATTCTCGACCTCAGTGTCTTGATGGCCCAGATCCTCGTCATCACGTTTTGCCCCAGCGGTCTGCTGGTCGCCCTGCATCTCCTCACGAGGGGAAACTGACGAGGAGGCCGGTGTAGCCGTAGATGCCACTGATGCCACCATCGTTGCCTCTGGATGCCCACTGCCACTGCTGGCGCCGCGGCAGAACTGCTTCCAGAACCTATCACCAGCAGCATCAATCACTTCTGATGACCTCTTCGCTGGGGGCGGTGGAGTCACCAGCGTCACTGCACGAAGTTCACCTGTCTCGTCATCGGCTCGTTGTATTCGCTCCATGTGTGTCACTGCCGCTTTGGCCTTAGCGGGGGGCGTCGGCTTTGCTTTAGCCGCAGTCGCGCCAGTTTTGGCCTTTGCTTTAACCTTGACCTTCGGGACTGGCCCAGCAGCTTTCGATTTTGCCTTTGCCATAGCAAATGACCGCACACGCACAGGGTCCTTACGAATGTGTCTCACAGTCTCACATGTCACAAGCGATTCAGGTGCACAAGGTCCACATGAATGTGTCTCAGTGTCTCACATGTCACACGCGACTCACTGCAATGTCTGCTGCGTCTTCTAAGAAGCTCGGAAACTCTGCAGCAGCATCAGCATCAACATCGAACATGTTGATCCAAACCAAGATCGAAACTCAAAACAATGTTGCACACTGCACATGATGGATCGTGTCTGAGGACTGCAGACGTGCATTTCGACAGTAGCAGTCGATACGGTCTATTTGTCGCTTTGCTTGCATCTGAGATATGTCCCATCGAGCCATATGACTCGGCACTAAGCCAGCTGTACAGCTGAATTTGGATTGGGCTTGCAACTTGGAACGCTGGGACAGCATCTGACACTTGCTATCCAACATATTGAACGCCTCTTCCCAAAGCGCCATGCCATTGTTGCCTATGGTACCGGGCCCAGCAAAGTGTATGACAATTATTTCAACATACATGATACCGTCAATTAACATTAACAGTCAAATAAATCAATAACGCCGGGACACCTAGGAACTAGGAACTAGAAGCTCCGTGCATTCATCATTCATCATTCGTTATTCACCCCGGCTTGTATTTGGGCCCATATGTCTCTGCTACTCAGTACTCACAACGAACCATCGGGTGGCTTGGCATTGTCTTGCATCTGCTGCGGCTGAAACATCCACCCGCTGTCACAGTAGCCTGTAGCCTGAGCCTGTACGCCACATGGCTTCTATGCGGATGTGAGCTTGCACAAACTCAGAGATACACAAGTATACGGTAAGATAAAGGCCCATAAAGGCATCAAACTGTGTTTAATGTCAATATAGTATTCCAACTCAATTTTACCGTAACCTGGGCACAGTACAATCATATCATATCATGTCACTTGGTGGCACATCACAACAGCAAGCTCAGCTGCGTATGTACGCCGCTGTACGCCGTCGCAGCAAATTACAATCACTCGTCGTGGCCCATGATATTACGGGCACGTACTACTTTAGTGTCACACAGACACTTATACACACTCACACAGTCACACATAAGAATCGTGCACGATGCAATGACGATGCAAAATGCATCTGTCACAATGACATTGCACAGAGAGTCGAATGGATTCGGTGGCATGTCGCTGCGCCCCATCACTTGGATTCATGAGATTGTGCTTCCGATTCCTCAGCGCGAATGACTTTTGTCATCACAGCCTGCAATCCCGCAGGTAATTCAACGCCCTCATCCGAGCAGACTTTCGCGGCTTCGGTGAACTGATTGACAGCCTTTGGGCTGGGTTTGCTGCCAGCCAAAACTGCCCGCGATACTGCCTTGGATATCAAGAGGTAGAGAATGTTGCAGGTTCCCATCCATTTGATGCCGTTTCTATATGCCGCCTCGAAATTTTTCAGCTCCACAATCTCGGATGCATCCATTACCAAGAGGGTGGCCAACTCTTTCACACGGTCGATAGCCGAACCCAATGCCGTGATTTGGGAAGTGATGTTGCTGGCGGCTGTCAAGTCAAATGCATCCTTGATCTTCGCGCAATCGAGCTGGTCATAGGACTCCAGCAGCTGCACGAACTCAGGGATTTCAACGTCAGAGTCAGAGATTACTGACTTTGACAACATGTCCTTGCACCTCTTCGCGATACTGTCAAACTCGTGTTGTCCTCGTTTGATGAGTCGCTGGCAGATGGAGCCGAGGTTGGACAAGGTGTCGGGGGAAAGTGTGTTGTCATTCGCCCCGTTGAGCTCACTCACGGATGTGGTCAGCTTTTCAACCGTGAGCTCCTCCAGCTTCCGGGCTGAACGGATCAACTCATGGGTCTGGATGTCCACTGCGTGCTCATCTGCATCACCCGCAGCAGCAAGCTGATCCAACGAAGTCTCCGCCACCATGGCGGTCACCAGAGTTGAAATTGCATCAACACCGGTAAGCACGGACTTGCCAACGTCATCACCCAAGATGGTGGAATACAGCTTGGCAGACTCCACTGCACCAGG